GACCCCAGGTTTATGGCAAAGAAGTGTATGGGAATCCCAAGGACATTAAGTTTTATTTTTCTAAGCATATTTAATCTTTCATAACATTTAAAAAAACAGGGGATAGACAGGGCTAAAAACAGAAGCCAAAAATCTTAGGATATATAAAACAAAACAGCAAAAGTCAACCTATTTATTGTTGATGATGTTGAGGAGCAGAAATAAGCATTCGGTTTGTGTTTTCTGATAACTCACTTGAGAAAACTGGTGCATTCTGAATTAAGATATATAATATAAGTGTCTGGTCTTAAGTTATAGCATCTTTTTATCTGCATGTTGATTTTAGGCTCAACTTCCAGTCAGGATCTAAGTTCATTTTCAAAAATAGTGATTTTCTATTTAAAAACAATGAAATCTGAGTTCTTAAGTGATTGTTTGTGAAACCTTCAAATTCTTGTTTCGTCCGTTTGTAATGCTGGCCCATTTTTACTCCCTCCTTGCACTTTCTTAATCAAGCATTAGCGAACATGAATTTGAAAAAGATTTTATCCTTAAGGAATCACACCTAGATGTTGAGCCTGGTATAAAATATAGATAGAAAGGACATCTTTTAGACTGTTCTGACCACTTGGTGATACGACCCATTAAATCTACCCCAAAAGCGCTTTTGAAGATTTCTGAGCTGTCAGAAAACAAAGAAAACATCCATGAAATCAATGCTTATTTCTGTTACTTCACACATACCTGGTATAAAGTTCTTATACAAACAAATAAACAAATAACAGTCTTCTCAGATTTAGCTTATGTTATATGGAATGACCCTTAAAAATAACCCTAAATGCCAGAATGTTGACATTGCTCACACCACCTAAGTAAAGTGAGAGAGGTATTGATTATACTGAACTCCTCCTTCACTGTGGTGGTGGATACAAAACATTAGTTAATTTAAACATGTTAAAAATGTGAGTACCAAAATCACAGGTGTGAAGTAACAAAGTACAAATACTTTGTTACTGTGCTTACATAGAATTTTCAGGTATCTGTACATTACTTAAGTATTTATTTTTCTGACAACTTTTTACTTTTACTCCCGATATTTTTAAACAAATACCTGTACATTTTACTCTGTACATTTTCAAAACAGACTCATTACTTTTGGTTTGACGTATTTGAGAGGAGTTATTGTTTCACGTCAATACGGGCCTTCAAACATCAAACCGATTTGAGTCTAGACAGTGACAAAAGAGTTCAAGTATTAATCGTCTGAGGATGTTGCATAAAAAGAAAGTAAAAGTGGGCCGTTTTTTGTTATTTTTCTTGTTGTTGTTGTTTTGTTTTTTTCAGCACAACTCCGGAAAGACTGCCGGTACCCACAAGTTGCTGTTGTGCTACTTCAGCATCTAGCTAGCCATACAGAAGAGGAGCAACAATAAAGGTGTAACATGTTGTGGCAGGTTATTTCAAATGCAACTATAAGCTCAACAAACATTAGCAAACGCTCAAACTGTTTGTAGCACAGTGTGTTGCTAGCTAAAGGTCCAACTGTTGTATTTCACAGAGAAAGAAAAGAGCTAACTTCACTCAGAGATGGGGAAAGATAAGAAAGGCAGGAGAAGAAGAAGAGAGGTTAGATTTAAAGAGAAGGACTGCTCAGTTCAGCTGGAAAAACTGGAAATTTGAAACTAACATGCAAGTCCTCATGTTTTTAAATCAGATAGGGTCTGTACATGTGACATCGCTTTTTTTTAAATTGTGAAACATGCTGCACAACAAACTGAGACAGACTAACTTGCATTTACATGATTTTTAATAAGTTGCGTTTCTCTGAGTGTCATGGGTCCCTGTGCAGCTTCAGCATTGTCTTTGACGTCTTTGAAGTGTCTTTGGGTGTTTCCTTACCCCAAAGCCCGCTTTTTCCTACAGTCATGTGTTCGGGTGATTGTCACCAGGCAATAGTGAGAAAGGGTAAAGTAGGTTTGGGGTGGATTTCACCCAGTGATAGTATTAGTGTATAAAATCAGGTTGATTTTTAGCGATAATATTCTTGTTTGCTCTAATAAGGTTGCTCTGCAGGTTAGTGCTGGATAAACAGGTTAGCTTGCTGCACTGTGATGGATTTAAAGTAAAGAACAGTGTGTGACTGGTGCACAGTGGCTGCCGAGTAAAAAGTTAGTACAAGCAGTGTCCTGTCAGTGTGAGGATGGAAATCAGCCAAGACAACTTATGAAACGTCTGCTGGCTGAATTCAAGTGTGTACATCCACAGAGAGCAGCTGGTAGCTGATAACAGCCTGTACATTAAGAACATCTGCTGGAGCTCTCAACAGAAATTATTGTGAGTTGTGATTCTTTTCCCCACACTGAGCGATTACATCGGACTTTAGGAAATTATGATTCTAGAAATCTACGTGTTGCGATAAGCCCCGTGACTAGACGGTAGCCCGAGTAAACGTTTGCTAACAGTAAGGAGCCAGCAATCAGGGAAACACTGAAATCTTCCGTAAAGGAAGTGTGGGTCACATAATATGCGCGTTAACGTCGTTATGTCGCTATTTTTAGATAATAAACTATATCGCGGTTTAGCATTTACAAACTCCGCGCGTGTGCCAACAAAGCGGTGACGCCAGCCGTAAAGTAAAAATAAACTCAAGAAATGTTACTGTGCTTTTTTCGCTGTGGTAGCTTTATTTTATTAAAAGTGAATAACAGATGACACCACACGGCAAGAAACACGGTCTGTGTGTAAACAACACTCTCTCTAAGCTCCGGGTAACACCGTGGATCAGTCAAAGTTAGTAAAAACACCCAACACAGGATTGTTTGCGCTTAACGTGCCAGATTAAATTCTGTTGCTCGCGCCGTCCCAGCGCTGTGAAATACGGATCAAAGATCACCGTTACGCCGGTGAACCATCCGGGAATGAGGAGGGCCTCAATTCAGACACTCTGAGAGAAAACACGGCTACAAACAAATAAACAACACTTACACTTACTTGCGGTCGATTCCCGTTCCTCGCTAACATGACCGAACATCACAGCAACCTCCCCTAAGATACGGCAAGTGACCCGCAGTAAAATACCGTATTACTGAGAACACAGTCGCAGAGGTGCATACTGCTCCTGATCAGCAGGTGGCGCCACCTGACACAAGAAATGCATAGAGGAGGGGTCTTTTTTTCTGTGTTCTCACTAATGAAAGCTACCTTCCGCTTCTCCCTTGTTCACAACAGCAGAAAACTCTCAAAAACATTTTAAACACTTATCAGGGACACAGAGTTGAGTGTCATAATCATAATACTGCACACAATAAACACTGCAAAAGGAACAGCTTAGCCATAAGTGACACACACATACACACACACACAAACATACAAACAAACATATTTCATCCACTATTCAATGATTTAACAACATAAACTGAATCAGATTAAAACATACATGAACATCTTCACTTTTCTGCACTCCTTCCTGTTAAAGAGTAAACAAATTTCTTCTATACTACCAAAAGTTATTTATCATCTATTATCAAAGATTCCTTTATTGTCACCGTACAGGGAAACTGACACAAGGTTTACATTTCAGAAGACTATTAGCTGAGTCTGCTGAAATGACAAGTGGTGGAAGAACTTTTAAAAACCCTTACTTTAAGAAAAGTCGCAATGAAACAGTAATAAAACAC